CCTCTGTCTATTCACACAACCTCCCAAGATGGTTAGAGACTTTATTCTTCTTCAGCTGACATTTTACAAACAGAAGATCTTGGTTACAATTTCTAAGTTAGAAAATTGTGCTGAGGACTCTCTCAACCCCAATTAGCTTTGTTAAATTACAGGAGAGAATGAAGGGGCAGTTTTGACCCTCCTGGAACTCACCACCCTTCTCTGGACTAGCCACTCCCCTTAGCAGCTGGGACTTTATTAATGAGCTCATCCTCTGGCTTAACTCCTCAGCCAAAGCAAATCCAAGGTAGCAAATTGCATTTTCCAGCTATAAAACCTAAAACTTTATCCCACAGGAGTCACAGTACCCAGAAAGAACTCACATTTGTGTTAGAAGTAAAATGTCGGTAGCTTGGAAAAAAAAGGGCCCACAATGCACCATTTCTTAGGTCACCTTCAAGGGCATTAAACTGTTTTGCCCATATGTATATATTACTTAGTGATTTCCAAAAATTATATCTAATTTATCACCCAATTAAAGGATAAACTTTTTATTATTATTTTTAAAGATTTTAGTTATTGATCTTGGAGAGAGAGAGAGCACGCATGTGCGAGTGGGGGAAGGTCCAGAGAGAGAGAAAGAATCTCAAGAAGATTCTACCCTGAGTGTGGAACCCTACTTGGAACTCCATCCCAGGACCCTGAGATCATGACCTGAGCTTAAATCAAGAGTTAGAAGCTTAATTGACTGAGCCACCCAGGTGCCCCAAGGGAATAAACTTTTTTTTTTGAAAGATAGAGACTACATTTCTTATATTCTCTTAAAAATAAAGCAACACTAATATATACTTTTTGGACACAGTGGATATATAATAAAAGCAATTTGACTAATGATCCATTTTGTCCTTAAATCCTAGTAGCATCAGTCATTCATTTAACTGGTGAGTGACTATCATGTACCTAATGCGAGGCTATGTGTTATGAGGCATATATCAGATGTACTTGACGTAACCCTGTGCTCAAAAATTTTGCAACCTTACTAAAAAGGAAAACACATATGAACCAATTGGAATAATAGATCTAGAAGAACCTTAAAGTCTCTAAAGTCCAGTTTCCTTGTAATAGATATCCCCAGCATTCCCGAATATTTCTGACTCTGTTTTCTTCTGAGTACCCGAGACAACTGGAACTCTCAATCCCTTGAACTTTGGGTAGATTTCATGACTTGCTTTGGCCAAAACTTGCAAGTGAAGGGATGTGTTGTCACTTATTGAGGGACGCATTTAAGAGCTGAGACACAAGTCTCCATTCCCCTTCTTTTTCTGATATAGCAGTTGTGGGGGAGACATCATAGCTATCTTAGTTTATTTGAGGAGCTATAACAAAATATCACAGACTAGGGAGCTTATAAACAAGAGAAGTTTATTTCTCACAATTCTGGAGGCCGGAAGTCCAAGATCAGAGTGCCAGCACAGATGGATGAGGGCCCTTTTCCAGGTCACAGACTTCACCTTGTATCTTCACATGGCAGAAGAGGCAAGCTAGCTCTCTCTGGAGTCTCTTTTATAAGGGCACTAGTCCCTAATCACCTCCCCAAGGGCCCACCTCCTAATACCATCACCTTGGGCATTAGGTTTTCAACATGAATTCTGGGGTTCATTTTTGAGGGGAATGGTGAATGGGCAGATGCAAACATTCAGACCATAGTAATGGTGAAAAGTCAGAAAGCGTGACTCCTGTGTATGGAGCATGGATGTCAGATGCTCTGGGCCCCTCCAAGAGCCTTCGTATGAGCTAGAAAACCAGTTCTGGTTGTATTAGGCCTTGAGATTTTAGGATTATTTGTTACCAAAGTATAACCTAGCCTATCCTGACTAAATCCAACACGATGTAGGTGGGAAAATTGAAGTGTTAACCTGTGTGGTATGGAAACTCAGTGTGTTAAGAGTTCAGTGGGATGTTGCAGATTAATTTAATTTATTGAACTTGAGCTTCTCTTTGTAGAACATGTATGACTAATCTGGAGGAAGTGGTTGTGGCCTGGGAAAGTGTATTAATGGTCGCAGTGATGAGACAGTCCAGGTCAGGAGAAAATGAACACCTAATTATACCAATAGCAGTCCTATCTTAATATGCATAACTATTGGTGCTAAGCAATTTATTTACATTATCTAATTTAATTTCATGGCCATCCCAGTAGAAATAACAATAATGATGGTATAAACAACTATCTCAACCTTTCCTATGAGGTAGCAATGGTTACTATTTCCATTTCTTTAAAAAGTAAACCAAAGTTTAGAAAGCTTTACTTGGAATATCTGGAACTACTTCCACATGCAGTGAATCCCACCTCCTCCTTTTCTCTGGGATGTCGCTCAAATGGCCATCTCTTCATTTTTCATTATTTGTAACTGCCCTATTTCTACTGGTCCATCCCTTTGCCTTAAAAAAATAGGCAAATGACGTAACATTTTAAAGTAAAACCTGTTTTAAAAAAATATAAAATCAAAGTAACTATATCCTGATTTGCCTTCAAGTTATGCTCTCTGTTTTCACCTCCTTAACCCATTTCAGAACCTCCTGTGGTTGAGTCACCACCAACTTCCTGGTTGCCAGATTCAGTGGATGTAATGAGCCGTCTTCTTACTGGGCCTGTTGACTGGGGCTAACCTGGGCCTCTAAAGCTCTATGATCTTCTGGATCTTGTTATTACTTGTTCTTTTTAAATCCATGTTAAAGATTCCTTTTTCTCCACTGACCCTTTAAAAGATAGTCCTATATGGGTGTCCTTATTCTTGTCCCTCTTCATGGGCTATGAAGACAACTTCATCTATTCTTATGACTTAATTACATGTTAATATGTTACATTCCCCCCAGGTCTAAAGCTGTAGTGAAATTCTCTCTCAAGGAATTCATAAATATATATTCTACCTCTTTGTTCATATATCACCAAGGCCCACTGAAATAATTAGGTAAACAAACAAATAAATACATTCCTTGCCACCCTAAACCTTTTTCTCCTGAATTCTTCTTTTTTTAAATTTTTATTTTTTTAAAGGATTTTATTTATTTATTTGACAGACAGATCACAAGTAGGCAGAGAGGCAGGCAGAGAGAGAGGAGGAAGCAGGCTCCCTGCTGAGCAGAGAGCCCGATGTGGGACTCGATGTGGGGCTCGATCCCAGGACCCTGGGACCGTGACCTGAGCTGAAGGCAGAGGCTTTAACCCACTGAGCCACCCAGGCGCCCCTCTCCTGAATTCTTTATCTTCATAAATACTCCATCAGCTACCCACTCCCTCAAATTGCAAGCCTGAAAGCCTATTTCTTCTTCTTTCCCAATAACTAGACTCCACAGCTTGAACTGTCACCTAAATAGCTCTCAATTTCTACATCTTATTTTTGCCATCCCTAGTAAGTGTTTAATTTAAGGTCTTGTTGCCCTCGTCTTCACTAGATCACCTCCTTAATCCCTCCAAAGCATTCTTCACACTTCAGCAGAATTGTTTCTAAAGTTCCACAATGGTCATTATCTACATTGTTCCAAGGTGCTTCATTATATTCCAGATAAAATCTAAATGCCTTAGTAGATACACACAGTCTTTCACAACCTGATCTATGCTCACATCTCCAGCCTTTTCCACTGCTTCTTCTTGCTTCCCACTTAACCTGCTGAGCCAAGCCAAAGAGGTGGTAACATGGGAACAAGTCCCTCTGGCCTTGTTGGTATGGCCTCCCTTACTCTACTTTTACCCTTTACTCCTCCAGGTGGTTTCCTCTTGAATTTTTCAACTTCAAGTCCCAGTTCAGAAGCCCCCTCTCTAAGTGCTCCCATGTCCATACCCTTTCTGTAAGCATGCATCTCTGATGCTTCTATCATATTACATGGTGGTCACCTTTTGTTTTTACGTAGTCATCACTCAGCTTGGTCCCATTTCTCCTCTCAGATTTATTTGAAAGACCACCAGCCTACCTGCATTTCACAATAGATATGGCATTAGGCTTTTGAAATAATGCACAAAAATAAAGTCAACATATGTCATCAAGATTTATAGAATGCTCACTCTTGGATCAGAGTCCCATAGCTAGGAAGGAAACACATGGCAAAGAAATGGACTTTCTCTTTTCTTGTTTCCTTATATTTTTACTTTCATTTGTAGCCTAGAAGTTGCTTCTGAACCACACGTAGGCATAAAGACAGCTTGATCTTTGAGGACTGCTGATGTATCTAGAAGGTAGGCTCCATAACTCAACCTGTTTTCTAGATGCACACCAAATCATTTAGTGCCTTGATGAAATTAAGAGGGCTAGCTGTACTTCTGTTTAATAAGGATACATCAGATTAGAGCCTATATTTTGATTTTGTGTTTGTGGGATAGTACTGTAAATTCTCTTTTTTCATTTTCTCAATCTCATTAACTTCGTTCTCTGTTGCTTCATTATTTTCAGAACTGTCTTCTGTAGCTGCACTTCTTTTCCTAGCCAACTCATCTGTCAGCTGATACAGTATTTTTTAATTATATTTTTCCAATATTTCTTTCCTTGTCATCATTTATTTTTAATTTATGTGCATATATTATTTTTATGAGGAAGCCCAAGAATAGCTGCATTTTACACACAATGTAAAGTTATGAAACTTTTTATAAGGTTTTTGCCTCTTGTGTCTCACAAAGAAATTCCAATTCTTCTGTTCTTCCCAGATTTATGCCAAGAAGAGGCCATTAGGAGGCACATAGACCCCCGTTGGTAGACTCTGAAGGTTGGGTCTCAATCAGTGACTGACAGGGATTATCTAGTTCTGATTTTGAGGCTTTGTGTTTTAAATTGCCATCAAGGATCGGCAGGATACACTCAGCATTTACAAAGTGAGCCCTTAGTAAAACAAAACAACAGCAAAAACAAAAACCAAAAAACCTTTCTTCAAGGTTACAACAAACCAGTCCTCTGGCATCAAGGGCTATGGCTCATGATGAACAGGGGAGAGGAGGGGAAGCCTGACAAAGAAGGCTTTTTTTTTTTTTTTTTGTGATTCCTAGATTTTATTTAAAGATTATACAAAATATCCCAGACACAGGACTTCTAATCCTCGTCCTCCTCCTCCTCCTCGTCCTGGTTGATCTGGAAGTAGCGTAGCTCGTAGCTCTCCTTGCTGTTGGCCACCACGCGCAGCCAGTCACGGAGGTTATTCTTCTTCAAGTACTTTTTGGTCAGATATTTCAAATACCTTTTGGAAAAAGGCACCTCGGAAGTTACAGTGATCTTGCTTTTGCTCCTTTCAATGGTTACCACCCCGCCACCGAGATTTCCAGCTTTTCCATTCACTTTGATTCTCTCCTGAAGAAACTGCTCAAAATTGGCGGCATCCATGATTCCATCTTCTACAGGGTGGGTACAATCAAGGGTAAACTTCAGAAATGTTCCCCTAAACACACACACCACAAAAAACACAAACTATAAGTAGAATACCCACATCAATTCCTCAACATGTCATCACACAGGCCTCATGTTGTCACTTTACAATAAAATTCACCAGAAGACAAGTCCTATCCTCACCCTTGGAGTTTCCAATCACATTTTTAGGTTTTAGTCAAGGATCACCAGGGATTTGCCTTTTTCATAAAAGACAGGCCAAAGAAGATTCAAATGGCCTTAGAAGGAAGAGAGGCAACGCTGGGAGTATGAGCAAACGTAAAAATATATGTGTGGGCTCACATATATATACACATACCAGTATACACGTGTGTATACACATATCTACCCACACACTCACACCAACACACAATTAATAGCTAAGACCACAGGCTTTGAAGAATGAAATTATTACATAGAAAGTAAAACAGAACTTTATAAAAAGGAATTATCAGAAAGTAAGAGTTCTTGATAATGAAAAAATATAACAGTTAAAATATAACAGTTAAAATGAGTTTAATAGGAGCACCTGGGTGGCTCAGTGGGTTAAAGCCTCTGCCTTCGGCTCAGGTCATGATCCCAGGTTCAGGGATGGAGAAGTTGAGTGAGGGTTCTGGAGGATAACCCCATCATCTACACTAGGTCTTAGATTGAATTTCGGCCTCCAAGTGCTCATATTCTTTGTGATTCTTTACATAAGTATTGCTAGGACTCTAGTTCAAAGCATGGATATTCCCTGGTTCCATCCCAGGGGACAGAAAACAGCAAAATAATGATAATAATACCAGTTATCATTTATGGAGTGTTTACTATGTGCCAAGCACCATTCTGTATACCTTAAATATGTACTGCATCATATAATCACATGAAAAATCTATGAATTAGGTACTTTATAATTTCCATTTTAAAAAATGAGAAAACAAGCACTGAGGATAAAACAATTTGACCAAATTCACACAGGTATGAATAGGTGATGGGTATAGGGGTTAAACTTAGGCTCTCTTATGCTAATGCTCTTGCTCTTAGGTACCACACTGATAAAAATTGTTGGAAAAATATATAAATAAGAGAAATAGTGGAAGAATGGTTCCTACTCTTCCCCCCAACTCCTTCCCCAACAAAAGTACCTCAGTCTTTCATCTTCTCTTCTTTACTTACACTCAGATCTTTATTGGGCTCAACTGTCTTATGGTTTTGAATAACAATTATCATGTTGACAAAGTCTCAAATTTGTATCTTTAGTCCAAATCTCTTTCATGAATACTAAGCTCATATATCCAATTACCTTCCTGACGACTCCACTTTGATGCCGTATAGATATCTCACACTTAACACCCCCAAATTGCACAGGTCTTTCCCTAGTCATAACCCTTCCACAGCCTTCCACTTAGCAGTTAATGGCACCTCCATTAGCCCAGCTGTTCAGACCAATCCCCTAAGTCTTCCTTGACTCTTTCTTTTACCCCAGTCCAATCTGTTGTCAAATTCTGTTAGTTCCCTCTTCAAATATTTTTCAGACTTTGACCCCTTCCCCTAGCACCCCTATGAAGCCTGCCTAGTTCTGACCACCATTCTGTCTCATCTGAATTATTATAATCATCTCACAGTTGGTTTCTTTGCTTCCAACCCCATTCATCTACAGTTTATTCTATAAAGAGAAGTCAGAGTGATGCTTGTAAAATGTAAGTCAGATTATGGTCATCCCTTGTTGAAAACCTGCAGTGGCTCCAAATTTCACCTAGAATAAAGGCCTGTTTTATAATGGCCAATAGGATCCTATATGATCTGACTCTCCCTCAAAAATGACTTGAGAGGAGAGGATATTTTCTCCTCACTCTCCTCTTCTTCTCCTCCTCTCCTTCTTTTCCTTGTCCTACTCTGCTTCATTCTCATCTTCATCTTACATCAATGTTGACTTGCTCCACAACAAAGTTTTAGAACAAAATGAATTCAGTATTTGGCAATGTCTGGTGAATGAAGCTTGGACTCTGTCTTTGACCAAACAACTTTCCACCCCGCCATGAAGACAAGAGATACGGAACTCATCCTTGACCCCCTCTCCAGCATGCATTATATTCAATTAGTCCCAAGACCATAAGCACGGCTCTCAAGTCCATTTCTTCCTTTCCATCTCCACTGCTACTACTTGAGTGCAAGTTCTTTTCTTTTCCCATTTATATCCCCTCAACAATCCCCTCAGAAGTGTCCCTTCCAAGGCCTTTCCCTCCATCTATTCTACATCTTATATCCAAAGTTGTATTTCTAAAAGGCAAATTGGACATCATTACTTGGCTCAAAGATCTCCGTTGTTTTCCCTTTATTTATAGCTTTATTTTTTAACCTTTTTGGATCAAGGATCTTTTGGAAGTCTGACAATACATACGAACTTACCAGAAAACTATAAGTACCAAAGTTTACATTAAATTTCAGGTGACTCACAATGGTCTGAAACCATCCAAGAAAATGTTCAGCTCCGAGGGATTCTACGTTAATGAACCTTAGGCCATAGGAGAGTCCACTAAAGTTTTTCAGTCTCTAGCCCATAACCAGCAGCCTCATATCCCATGACTACCTTTATTCTTCCAGATTTAGCTCAAGGGAAATATTTCCTAATCTCCTGAGGAAGTTAATCTCTCCCTTTCTCTGCATCCAAAGCACATATAGCAATTATCACATCAGGTTTTAAATATTTCTAAACATTTTCTCCCCTAGAACTCTCAACTCTTTGAGGAGAGGGCTATCTAATTTTCTATTTATGTCTCAGTCCTATCACAGACCCTAGGATACAGTTGATATTCAGTAAATTTTGATTGAGTGACTATATCACAGGTTTAAAAAAGAAAAGGATACATGGTGATTTCTATGTTAAAGATTTGCCCATCCTTGCTTCTTCCACCCTTTCTGATATTAACCAGAAAAGAGAAGAGATAAGTCTAGTGCATCAAATTACAATTATATGAATTATACATTTATATATATGTATTACAATTATACATATGACAATAATTCTACATGACTGAGGTAAGTTTTCCTTAAATTCTGAACTTTGGCATTACAGTTCTTTCAGCTGACCTTTGTCATTTCCTAATTCCAGGACTGGGATAAGTCTTTGTCTTTGGTTTCTCTTTTGATCTCTAGAGAAATGAACTTTTGTCTGGTTTTAACCATTCTTTGTCCCAACATATTATTAGGAGAGTAAGCTTTGAAACCAGTTCATTGGCTCATCAGCTCTTTAACTCTGGGTTTGCAGAGTCTCTTCACTCTGGTCCATAGCTTACAGCTATGTTTCTCATGGAATGGTCCATGGAATCAAAAGCACCTTGTGTATTTTTTCAAGGTGCAGGTTCTGGGACATACTAAATAACACTTTTTTAAAAAAAGATTTTTATTATTTATTTGACAGACAGAGATCACAAGTAGGCTGGTAGAGAGAGAGAGGAGGAAGCAGGCTCCCCACCAAGCAGGAAGCCCGATGCAGGGCTTGATCCCAGGACCCTGGGATCATGACCTGAGCTGAAGGCAGAGGCTTTATTTAACCCACTGAGCCACCCAGGTGCCCCTAAATAACACTTTTGGGAGGCAGAAAGATATTCTGGAATTCGCATTTTAAAACTTTCCTAGGGGATTGCTCTGTGTACTGAAATTTGGAAACTTGGACCTAGAACTCACTTCCATTCTCTTTCTACTGCATGAATGTAGATCTGGGTTTCATCCTTCTCATCTTGACTCCCTTTTGTTAACACCATACCTTAAATTCACCTTGACTAGTGAATACCTTCAGTTTGTTTGTTTCCATGAGCAGGAACAAGGTTAAGAGTAAGAGCTTGGAGCCAGAAAAATTTGGGCTTAAATCTCCCTTCTGCCACTTATTTGCTATGGGAGATGAACTATTCTCTCTTAACCACATTTTCTTTAACTTTCTAACAATACTTATCCCATAGGATTGTTGTAAAAATTTAATGGGATCTTATATGTAAAGTATTTATTTAACACAGTTTATAACCCAATCGAAGTTGGGTAAGTGGTAGTTATTAGTAACAATGTTACTAGTTATTAGTTATTAGTTACAATGGTAGTTATTAGTAATAGTAGTAATAATAACCCTGAAATTTGTCATTTTTTCAATAAGGTATCTTTTTCATAGTATATGTATGTTTCATAGTATATGTATGTATATACATATACATAATATATATATATATATATACTATGTATATGAAGAATAGTATTTATTTAATTTAATAATATATTAATATAACTATAATATAATATATTCATGTAAGAGGTTTCTAATTAGTAGATCATTTGCCTCTCCTTATTTACCTGTTCAGTCTGTCCTGTCATCTGATTCCCATCTGTCTGTCTAGCATTCCAACAATCAGCCTTAGCTCTGAAGTAGAGGTAATTGAAGATCAAATCTTATTCAGCACTTAGAAAATCACTTCATTCTATTAGGAGAATTTTTAAGTACTCAGATGAATCACTATGAAGACTAATTTTGAAAACTGTGTTTGATCAGTGGTACAGTTTTGGTTGATAGCTCTGCTATTCCCAAAGGAATCCTAACAAAACAGTTTCAAAGAGAAACACTTTGAAGTAAGAAAAGATTATGGGGGGAGGCAAACTTGGGGGAACAATCACGCTTAATAAGAATTCTTCATAAGGTTTCTCATTCATTAGGAAAATTAGATGAACTGTGAACCATGTCAATAGAGCCTATTTATTAACTACTACCAAGCAGTGATTCTCAAAGATCTCTTCAATAATGTGGGGAAAAAAATGGTTCAAGGAGACTCTCAAAGATTTTTCTATGGGGGAAGAAGGGGAAGGAAAGCAGTATAAATTTGATTTAAGTCAGACTTCCCTCTCCTGAACTAAAATTTGTCATGATCACAGCCATCCTGATGTCATCTGGAATTTCTTCATTGTTAGAAATCGCTAAGTGAGAGTGAAGCTGTAACATGAGTTCCCATTTTTCAGTTTGAAGATTTCAGCAGAGACTCCATCAGCTTCTGCACTACTGCTATATCTACCTGATGGCTTTCAGGAGATTGAACCGAACAGCACAAAGAACTCTGGTGTTTGCAACGTTTCAAGTGAGCCTCCAAAACGCAATAGTCTCCATCCCTAGTTCTTAATATGCTGGATCATAAAAGTCTTTATTAGAATGGGGGTGCATTGCAAAAGAAGACGTTCAGTGAGAGTTTGAAGAGACAGGGGGCATTTGTTAACTGTGACACCAGGTTTTCAGAGGGTGCAGTAAACCAGTAGGGAGCAGTGAGAGACTCCGTGTGGAGGAACGACGTGCCGGGCAGTATGGGGATGACAGTACTGAAGAGAACAGCGGCCACAAGACTGACCAATGATCATGGATCTTCAGAGAAGACTTCACCAGAACCTCTTGTCAGCTTTTTCTTTACCAGTGAACCTTCCCTTGCTTCCATTTCCTTCCCTCCCCCTCTCAGATTCCACAATCTATCACTTCAGTCAATCTCCTCCTGGTATCCTCCACTACTCCATCCCATTGTCCTTTTATAGCCATCCTTCTAGCTACATCCTGGAAAATTCAATTTACCTTTCCCTGTGCATATGCCCAGGATTGTAGCCACTGCTGAAGAGAACTGTGGCAAGGAGGTCTGGGGTCATTACTAACCCGTGATATAAATTCAAAGATGCCCGGCAATCATAATTTTTCCTTACGCACTGCTCTGTTCCAATCTCCATGGCAACTTTGTCAAACCTCCCAAATCTTTAAATTCCAGGCCCTTCAGCTTCTCTTTACCCCATTAGCAAAGAATCACCCATTTTACTGGAAATACAATGTTGGATACAAACACCTTGCTTCCTGCTCCCAAACCCACAAAGAGTCTCACTTTATCCACCCCTTACCCCTTCCTTCCTCACACTTAGAAAGGAGAGTTCTGGATGAAATGACTTCTGTCAGTTTTGTTTTCTCTGCCCTATTTCTTCTTCAATTTCTCCCTCCCATGGTTCTTTTGACTCAGCAAATATTCCTCCCATCTTAACCTTAAATGCCCTTCCCTCTCTCTTCCTTCCAAACAAGCATCTTTGTTTTTGTTTTTTTGGGTTTTTGTTCTTGTTGTTGTTTGTTTGTTTGCTTGTTTGTTTGTGGTTTTTTTTTGGTTTTTGAGAGAGAGAATGTGCCTGCGCACACAAGTGGGGGGAGGGACAGAAGGAGAGAAGAGAGAAAAATCCCAAGCAGACTCCCTGGAGAGCTCAGAGTTGGCCCTGGGGCTTGATCTCATGACCCAGAGATGGTGACTTGAGCCAAGATCAAGAGTCCTGAGGCTTAACTGACTAAGCCACCCAGGTGCCCCCCCAACCAAGCATCTTGAAAGAACAGTTTGCATTTACTCTTTTTACTTTCTTGCCTTCTCTCCTGTCAGATCACCAAGCAGGTTTTGTCCCTTTCTAGTAACTAATTCCAAGAGCCATTTTTGGATTATTATTTAACTGGACCCAGTCACTCCCCAGCCCCCACCCCGCCATGAAATTCTTCATATTTTGCTCTTAATGTCCCAGCCTTGCTCTTCCCTCTCTCTTTTCCAGGCTCCTCTTCCCCTGTGTATCCCTCAAACTGTAGGTTTTTGTTTGATTTAAAGGTGTTAGATACCAGCATCCGTGTGTCATTTGTTGTTCATGACTTTCGTTCTTTTTGTTCTTTATCTAAATTATTTGTGAGAGGTTTTTTTTTTAAAGATTTTATTTATTTATTTGACAGAGACAGAGATCACAAGCAGGCAGAGAGGCAGGCAGAGACAGGGGGGGAAGCAGGCTCTCTGCTGAGCAGAGAGCCTGATGCGGGGCTTGATCTCAGGACCCTGGGATCATGACCCAAGCCGAAGGCAGAGGCTTAAACCACAGAGCCACCCAGGTACCCCTGTGAGAGGTATTTTAAATCTGAAGTTATCAAAACTTCGTAGGCTTTGTCACAGACATTGAAAATATTCCAAAATTTTCACTTGTTTTTTAATTGTAAAGAAAATGTCAGTTTTATACTGTAAAAATCTTTTGATCCTTATAAGTTTCTGTTTTTAGTGCCATGCTTAGAAAGGCCTTGTCTAGGATGCCCACTCTCACCACTCTTGTTCAACATAGTATTAGAAGTCCTAGCAACAGCAATCAGACAACAAAGAGAAATAAAAGGTATCTAAATTGGCAATGAAGAAGTCAAACTCTCTCTCTTCGCAGATGACATGATTCTTTATATGGAAAACCCAAAGGACTCCACCCCCAAACTATTAGAACTCATACAGCAATTCAGTAACGTGGCAGGATACAAAGTCAATGTACAGAAATCAGTGGCTTTCTTATACACTAACAATGAAAATACAGAAAGGGAAATTAGAGAATCGATTCCATTTACTATAGCACCAAGAACCACAAGATACCTGGGAATAAACCTAACCAAAGAGGTAAAGGAACTGTACTCGAGGAACTACAGAACACTGATGAAAGAACTTGAAGAAGACACAAAAAGATGGAAGACCATTCCATGCTCATGGATCGGAAGAATAAACATTGTTAAAATGTCTATACTGCCTAGAGCAATCTATACTTTTAATGCCATTCCGATCAAAATTCCACCGGTATTTTTCAAAGAGCTGGAGCAAATAATCCTAAAATTTGTATGGAATCAGAAGAGACCCCGAATTGCTAAGGAAATGTTGAAAAACAAAAATAAAACTGGGGGCATCACGTTACCTGATTTCAAGCTTTACTACAAAGCTGTGATCACCAAGACAGCATGGTACTGGCATAAAAACAGACACATAGACCAGTGGAACAGAGTAGAGAGCCCAGATATGGACCCTCAACTCTATGGTCAAATAATCTTCGACAAAACAGGAAAAAATATGCAGTGGAAAAAAGACAGTCTCTTCAATAAATGGTGCTGGGAAAACTGGACGGCTATATGCAGAAGAATGAAACTCGACCATTCTCTTACACCATACACAAAGATAAACTCAAAATGGATAAAAGACCTCAACGTAAGACAGGAATCCATCAGAATCCTAGAGGAGAACATAGGCAGTAATCTCTTCGATATCAGCCACAGCAACTTCTTTCAAGATATATCTCCAAAGGCCAAGGAAACAAAAATGAAGATGAACATTTGGGACTTCATCAAAATCAAAAGCTTCTGCACAGCAAAGGAAACAGTCAAGAAAATGAAGAGGCAACCCACGGAATGGGAGAAGATATTTGCAAATGACAGTACAGACAAAAGGTTGATATCCAGGATCTATAAAGAACACCTGAAACTCAACACACACAAAACAGACAATCATATAAAAAAAATGGGCAAAAGATATGAACAGACACTTCTCCAATGAAGACATACAAATGGCTATCAGACGCATGAAAAAATGTTCATCATCACTAGCCATCAGGGAGATTCAAATTAAAACCACATTGAGATACCACCTTACACCAGTTAGAATGGCCAAAATTAGCAAGACAGGAAACAACATGTGTTGGAGAGGATGTGGAGAAAGGGGAACCCTCCTACACTGTTGGTGGGAATGCAAGTTGGTGCAGCCACTTTGGAAAACAGTGTGGAGATTCCTCAAGAAATTAAAAATAGAGCTTCCCTTGACCCTGCAATTGCACTACTGGATATTTACCCCAAAGATACAGAGGTAGTGAAAAGAAGGGCCATCTGTACCCCAATGTTTATAGCAGCAATGGCCATGGTCGCCAAACTGTGGAAAGAACCAAGATGCCCTTCAACGGATGAATGGATAAGGAAGATGTGGCCCATATACACTATGGAGTATTATGCCTCCATCAGAAAGGATGAATACACAACTTTGGTAGCAACATGGATGGGACTGGAAGAGATTATGCTGAGTGAAATAAGTCAAGCAGAGAGAGTCAATTATCATATGGTTTCACTTATTTGTGGAGCATAACAAATAGCATGGAGGACAAGGGGAGATGGAGAGGAAAAGGGAGTTGAGGGAAATTGGAAGGGGAGGTGAACCATGAAAGACTATGGACTCTGAAAAACAATCTGAGGGTTTTGAAGGGGCGGGGGGTGGGAGGTTGGGGGAACCAGGTGGTGGGTATTGGAGAGGGCATGGATTGCATGGAACACTGGGTGTGGTGCAAAAACAATGAATACTGTTATGCTGAAAAAAAAAAAAATAAATAAAAAAAAAGAAAGGCCTTGTCTTCACTAATATTAAATAAATATTGATCTCATTTTTTATAAGACTTTTTTTTTTTTTTTTTGTAAAGAAGCTTTGGGTTCACAGCAAAACTGAGAGGAAGGTCGGGGCACCTGGGTGGCTCAGCAGGTTAAAGCCTCTGCCTTCAGCTCAGGTCATGATCTCAGGGTCCTGGGATCGAGCCCCACATTGGGCTCTCTGCTCAGCGGGGAGCCTGCTTCCCTCCTCTCTCTCTGCCTGCCTCTCTGTCTACTTGTGATCTCTCTCTCTGTCAAATAAATAAATTAAAAAAAAAAGTGTTTAAAAAAAAAAAACTGAGAGGAAGGTGAAGAGATTTCTACCACACGTGCAGAGTCTCCATGACTATCAACATCCCCACCAGAGTGGTACAGTTTTTACAACCTATGAACCTACTTTGATACGTCATTATCACCAAAGTCCATTGTTTACACTAGAGTTTACTTTTGGTGTTGGACATTTTATGAGTTTGGAAAAATGTATAATAACAGGTATTCATCCTTATGGTATCATACAGAACATTGTCTCTACCCTAAAAAGTTCTCTGTGCTCTGCCTTTCATGCTTCCCCTCTCCCCTAACTCTGTCAATTATTGATCTTTTTACTGTCTCCATTGTTTTGCATTTTGCAGGAATGTCCTATAGTTAGAATCACACAATAGGCAGGCTTTTAAAAATTGGCTTCTTTCACTTAGTCATATGCGTGTAAGTTTCTTCCAGATCTTTCTTCCAGTGACAACCCACTGTCTGAATGTGCTGCTGTTGCTTTACCTGTTCAACTACTGATGAACATCTTGGCTGTTTCCAAGTTTTAGCAATTATGAATAAAGCTTCTATAAACCTCCGTGTGCAGGGTTTTGTGTGGACATAAGTTTTCAACTTCCACGGGTAGATCCCAAGGAACATAGGAGTATCATGTGGTAGGAGTACAGTTAGTGTTGTAAGAAACCCCTACACTGTTTTCCAAAGAGCGGACCATTTTGCCTTCCCACCAGCAAGGAACGAGTTTGTTGCTGCACCATCTTTGTCATCATTTGATGTTGTCAGTGTTCTGGATTTTGGCCATTCTACTAGGTGTGTAGTGATTCTATTTTTCTTCTAACAGTTTTATGGTTTAATTTTTGAGGTTTAAACCTACAGTTTATCTGAAGTTTATTTGAGTGGAACTTTATTATGATGTATAAAAGGGAGCACACTTTAATATGTTCCAAATGGTAAGCCGCTTGTCCCAAAATAACTTACTGAGCCACCATCTTCCAAAGATATTTTAAATGTCGCCTTTTTTGTTCTATCAATTTCTCATAATATTTGGATCTATTTCTAGACTTTCTATTCTGTTCTGTTGATCTGTCCTATTTTTGTACCTATTCCTTAATGCTTTTGATAATATAGATTTATAATGCATTTCAGTAAATTAACGGGAATATAGACTTCTAAAACTTTTTTATTGACTGGTTTTAACTTTCATTTTTCAGATGAACTACAGAAGCACTTTGTTAAGTCATAAAGAGAA